ACATACTCTTCTGTTTCATCATTTACCTGATTCGCTTAAGCTATACCTACCTATGTACATAATCCTTCATTAATCACACTTTTATAAAGGCGGAGCTTCTGTGTCTTTCTGGTTGGAACACTTTCTGATTTAGAAAATTAAGGAAGGTACTATGAGGATGTGATATTTAAACTTAAATTTCAATGAAGTGAGTGCATTAAATAGGAGGTTATCTAAAAAGTACAAGGGAGGGGGGCTTGTGGAAAGTCCCAGGGATAGGAGCCATATTAGTACTGTTTTTGAAACAGAATTGGCAAAAATGGGCTGTGTGGCAGGTGAAAGAAAGAGAATGACAAAAGATGATCTGAGAGAGATAGTCAAACGTGAGATCATGCAGAGAATTGCAGAGCATCATACTATGTTTCTGTTAGAGCTCTAAAATGGATGGTAGAATACTGGGGGGCTTGCTTAGTGAAGTAATCTAATCTAATTTACCTTCTGAGTAGATATTTCTGGGTTCTTTGTGGGGAACATCTGAGAGAAGGAGATGGACAAAGGTAGAAGGAAGGACAACAGTTAGTTACCTGTTTCTTTAGTTTATGGGGCAGCTAGTGGTAGATTGGGATTTGAAGGTAGATGGAAAGCAGTATTCCAACTCATGCCATATGCTTGCGATATAACTAGTTGGAATTTCTTATGAGTTTCGACCTAAGAAACTTATGAATAATAGGATATTTAATAATATGAAAATAGCACAGGAAAAGGGACCTTTTCAGGAATGATCAGGAATTGTGAAAAAGTGGAAATCAGGACTTTCATTTCACATTATTAAGGTTTAGATAGTTGTGGTAACATTTATGTGGAGAATTGAATTAGGCTATATATATATGTATACCTCTGAATCAGAGAATAAGTTGAGGCTGAAGATATAAATCAAGTGGTCATTAGCATATGTTGTTGTGTTAAGTGCCACCAAGTCTGAGTCGGTTCCCACTCACAGTGACCCTAGGTACAACTGAAGAAAATGCTGCCTGCTCTTGCGCCAGTGTTTTACATTGGAGTCCATTGTTGCAGCCACTGTCAACTCACCTTGCTGAGGATCTTCCTTTTATCACTGTCTGTCTACTTTACCTACATGATGTTCTTCTCCAGGGACTGGTCTCTCCTGACAACATGTCCAAAGTATGGCCAAGGTGAAGTCTCACCAGCCTTGCTCTCAGAAGCATTTTACTATATTTCTTCCAAGACAGATTTGCTTGTTCTTTGGTAGCTCATGGCACTTTCAATATTTTTTTTCACCGCAACCATAATTCAATTACATTGATTTCTTTGATCTTCTGTATTCAAAGTCCAACATTCACATCAATTATATCCTTATGATATATAATATTTGAACCATGGTAGTAACTAAAATTATATAGAAGGTGAAAATATATGGAAAGTAAAATATGTGGGAAGACGCGATGGCAGTGAGTTTGGTTTTGGGTAGATTTCATTAGCTGCTGCAGTTTGATAGATTGCTTAAGCAAGATTTAAGTCGACCTCTGGGTTACCCTTGCCTGTATCACCAATGGGGAGCTCAGGTGGGGTAGTAGGTTACAACTTCATAGCAGTTGAGCTTGGAGTTTGAGTTTCGTTTTATCGCCAATGGTGAGAGAAAGATGATGTCAATTGCTTTCATAGAGGTTTAAGTTTCAGAAATACTATATCGTGTCACTATGATTAGGAATCAACTTAAAAGTTGGGGGTTTTTTGTGTGTGTGTCTTTTTGTTCTTTTGGTATGTAACCCATGTGGGATATTTGCAAGAGCATGAGGGAATTATGGTAGAATCAATTTTCTATAACTTTATTAAAAAGTGGAAATTTTGGCATCACACAAAGATATTATATATCTCTATTAATAACTATATTAAATGTTATATAAACTAACTTTGCCTTTTAAGTTAGAAGAGAGATAATTAAATGTAAAAGTTTGATGTAATGGATAATATATATAAAGCATGTAGCCAAAAATTGGTAAGGATTAGCTCCTTTTTACTTGCCATTAAGCCTAAGTGATTGGTAAGTACATAGTATACAATACAGTTAAATAAATTCTGTAACTAATTCTGGCCTGTAATAAAAATAACAGTTTTAAATGTCCTAGTCCAACTAATAACCCAATTATGATAAAACCTATCAAAAACAAACTCACTGCGATTGTGTTAATTCTGACTCAGTGAGCCACTGCAGGGTTCTGAAGACTGTAATTCTCTACAGGAGCAGAGAGCCTCAAGTATCTTCCCCAGAATGCCTGGTAGATTTGAACACCTAACTTAGGTGTCAAAAATTATTTTAAAAATACATTTCTAACATGCCAACAGCTCTACTTTTTTATATCTCTGTTTCTTCTTGTGGAGTCCTAGTAATGTATTCAGCTATGCATTGGGCTTATAACCAGAAAGTGAGCAGTTTGAACCCACTAACTGTTGAAGCTTAATATCCTGTAAAGGTTTACAACCTTGGAAACTCCGTATAGGGTCACATATGAGTCAGAATGCACTCAATGACAGTGGTGGTGCTGAGGTTTCTTGTAGGAGCCCTGGTGGTGCAGTGGTTATGCACTTGCCTGCTCACTGAAAGGCCAGCAGTTTGAACGCACCAGCTGCTTCTTGGCGAATGCTGTGGCTGCCTGTTGCCACGAAGATTGCAGTCTTTGTGGAACCATGGGGTCGTTCTGCTCTGTTCCATAGGAGTTTTAACTTGTGATGGACTGGACAGCAATGGGTTTAGTTTTTTGTTGTTCATATAAAATGACATTTAAATATGATAGATAGGTTTGCCAAAGGCTTCACTTATATTTTGCAACTTTTATAGAACAGTCATCACAACACTTGACTCATTTCCAGTGATCATTTTCAATCTATATAGTGATGCTGCATCAGTGGGCGTAGGCATAGAAACAGTTGTGCGGATGGTGCAGGATCATGTCATGTTTGGTTCATTTGTGCACAGGCTCTCTATGAGTCGGAGCCACTAGATAGCCCCAAAGAACAACACCAACAACATAGCAATGCAGATGCTTGGAGTTCTTTAAAGGACTTATTTAATTCACTTATTGATTTTACAATAAAAATGCATTCTTGCATACTCTGTTCAGTATTCACACCTGAATAATGTCTTTTTGCATCCAGAAGTAAGTCACATGTAAATTGGGCCTCCATCCAAGTAGGACATTCCGTTCAGCTTATACTGAAAATGGAACATAAGCTCAAAATGTTGTTTTTCAATTGAATGAATAAAAAGAACAAGAGTAATCACTGGATCCAGTTTAAAGGCATGAATACATAGTTCATTTGTCTTTCACTCATTGTGTTAAAAACAAAAGATGATGCTAATGATTTTAACACTTATATTTTAATTATTATTATTATTTATTTGCCTTAGGACTTTGACTACCGTGAAATCTTTGAAGTTAAAAAAAAATTTGAAACCCGAGACATCATATTTTTAATAGCAAGAACTCTTCACAATAGGACTTTTAAAGATGACATGCTTTTCTTGGAAAGCATTTCTTGTGGTTTCTTTGCCATTTGTGATCCTTAATAAAATATTCATGAAGAAATCTATCACCCATTAAGAACCTGTGCAAAGACAGCATCTTCAGCTGCAAACTTGGATCACACCATCCCCTCTCACCCCCTTCCTGGATTTGATGTTTCCTTTGCATACGCATTTTGGCCACAGATTGTTTTAAGAGTCCTGTTTTGGAAATGCAGGGCTAATCATGATGTGATTAGGTCCCAAGTGAATTAGTAGCATAAGTCCTCTTAATAGTTTCAAAATGATGGCTGTTGCTCTGATCACAGTATTTAATTTTTTCCCCAATTTCAATCTTTACTAAGTTTTCTTTTATCTTGTACGTCTTACTACAGTTTTCCTCAAATTCTTCACCCTTGCCCTTTCAACTGATTGGCACACATAAAATGTGACCAGGCTCATAGGAAAGGACCTGTATCACATTGTAGCGCTGAAATTCTGTTCAGCACACTTGGCACAGAATCCCAGACCATGATCGTTCTTCTCATTTGAGGATGTATGTGTATGTTGGAGGTTTTAAAAATTAAATTAGATTCAAATAGTTAAAACTTGGGAAATGTTCCTTTAAAAATCTGGAATTCTAGCTTTTCTTTGAAAAACCCTATGATTGGTAAAATTAGAACTCCTGGATTCTGCTAACTGATGAAAGACAAGTTGTTTTTGCCTTCTACTCAGGACACATACTTATTTTGTTGTGGACAACATCACTCATCTCACCTTTTGCTATAACTTTAACTGCTATAATCATGATTCAAGCCTGATTTCAGGTGATAACTGGTTCAAGACACTGTTTTTCTTTTTAAAACAATAGCTAATTTATCTATGTATCTTTTTGTTTTCTTTTTCTGTTCACAGAACTATAATGATTCATAAATAATTAATCTTTACAGATAGGTATCTTCCATAGAATTACTATTCTTGAGAATAAAACTTAATATTGTATTTATATTAAAGAAAATCTTTATGTTCCGCTGTCCCTTCTGTTCCTCAGAGACCAAGGTATCAGCTTTACCACTGAGAACCATTTTCTTTGCATATTTCAATTGTTATTAGTCATTTTACAGTGTTCTGAGAGAAAGAACTATTTAAGTACTTATATACAGGTATCATTATTTGTATATCATTAGTGTGCATGAAAGAGAGCCCTGGTGGTCTCCAGTTCCAAACTACCAGCTATTCTGACGGCGAACGATGTGACTTTCTACAACCATGAAAAGTTATGGTCTCTGAAACTCACAAGAGCAATTCTAACCTGTCCCTAAAGGGTCGATGTGATTAGCATGGCCTTGATGGCAGTAGGTTTGAGTGGGCAAGATTATCTAAAATAATAATGGCTGAGATTCCTTAACTATGCAGTGAAAGAAAATAGCACTCTGTAGGGCTGGGGGATTCTCCTTGTTGTTGAGTAGTGTTTTATAATCCATACCTCTCCCCTTTTCAGGATATCGAATCCCTAACAGGAGGTTTGACTGGCTCTAAGGGGACTGATCCACCGGTAAGTTAGATTCTTCATTACATTTAACTTGACAAATGTAATTTTACACATATCAGATAATCAGCTACTGGTATACTAATTTTCTTATGTACCATATATAAATATTGTTCTGAAATATAGATTTTGCTCTAACTACAAACATAAAAAATGTGAATTGCTGTGAGGTGTAGTTTGATGTTTTAAAAAGTTTTAATAAGCTTAAAACACTTTTCTCTTATTTGTTGGCACTAAATTTAAAAACAAAAACTTTACCTGAAGACTTTAGTACTTTATGTCATATTAATTGTTACTACAGAAGTTAAAGCCTTTTTGGAACTCGAGCATTTACCATTCTAAAGATGAGTGTATGATTTGAGGTACATTATATTATCTAGTTAATAAGAAAAAATAGGCCTTTGATGTCAGTGGTATTCCTTTTAAACATGTTTTATTGTGGAAGTTTACAGAATATATCATCCGATTTATACTCAATAATTGATCCACATGTTGTTTCATCTCATTCATTGCAATCAGCGCAATGTGACATGACTTAGCCTATTTCCTCTCCGTGTGCCTGTCCTGTGTCCATTCGAACTCCTTTTCTAATATTTATGAACTTTTTCTTTCGGTAAATGCTGCCCCTGCTCTTCAATGACTGATTATTTTAAGATTTATGTACTTCACTAGAGTCATTGTACCCCTTGTAGACCTATTATTAGGAGGAACTTTTAGGCACCAGTGCGTTTAGTTCTAGGCTTGAAGGGTTTATTAAGGCCCACAGTCTTGAGGGTTCCACCCGCCTCTATTCAACCAGTAGGCTGATCATTTTGGTAATTCCAAGTTGTGTTACACCTTTTTTATCCTCTTTATAATTTTTTATGTGATCCCTTTCACAGTAGTGGGCACTGGTCACTGGGAGCCATCTAGTTTTCATGGTCTCCAGGTGGTGGGGAGTGGTGTTTGGTGGTTCATTAGTCAATTGCACCCACTGTTTCTATATGCTTTAAATGTTGACCTTTCTTATTTTATTTATAATGAGAGAGAGAGTAATGGTTGTACCTTAGATGGCTTCTCATTTATGATCCCAGGCACTTTCCACCAAAGTAGGATTTAGAACATTATTTTTGTGAATTATGTTATGTCAGTTGACTTTGCTGTGTCCTGATACTCTGGTCCTGATTCCCCAACCTCAGTGGCTCATTTCCTTCAAGGAGCTTGGTTATTATGTCCAAGTTGTTTTCATAACTTTGTCCCTTGTATCCTTGTATCCTCCACCAAATTCATGAATGTATTTGCAATAAAGGTAAACACACACACATATAATCATATCATTTACATATAACTAATGATTGCATGTAATTACTATAACACATACAATTATTATATAAAATAATATATATGTTGAGCTTGTGTATATTCACCTACTTGTACATGATAATATTTAGCTCTGTTGCCTTTTATTCTTGCCTTAAACATCTCCCAGCGTCTTTCCTTGCCTCCATCATTTTTTGACAACTCCACTTATTGTATGCTACCATCTCTTTCATCACAGTTAACACTTGTCTATGATCTAGCAAGTATCTTCCCTTACTTTCCCCACCTACCTCTGGTACCCATCAAATAATGTTTCTTTTAACGTGAAAACTTTTACTTGACTTTTTGTCTTGGTAGTATCATACAATATTGGCCAACTGCATTTCCCTGAGCATAATGTCCTCCAAGTCCATCCATGTTGTGAGGTACTTTACAGACTCACCATTATTCGTCAGTATGTTGGAGTATCCTTGTATGTATGTGTCTACATTCTTTAGGCATTCTTCTACTCGTGGGACTTTCAGTTCTTTCCATCTTTTTGCCACTGGGATGGAGATTCTTGATATTGGTGATTTTTCTCACACATTCCAGGACACTTAGAAAATTAAGGGAAAAAGTATTTGTCATTTTAAATGAATATCATTTTTAATCAAAAAGAAGAGATTGATTTTGGTATTTTGGGATGTTACTGCTCTTTCTGTGATGATGTCTAATTTCAGAGAACAGTGATTCAGATAATATTTCTTTTTTAAAAAATCATTTTACTGGGGGCTCGTACAGCTCTTATCAGAATCCATCCATCCATCCATGTGTCAAGCACATTTGTACATTTGTTGCCATTATCTTTTCCAAAACATTTTCTTTCTACTTGAGCCCTTGGTATCACCTCCTCATTTTGTCCCTCCCTCACAAACCCTTAGTAATTCATAAATTATTATTTTTTTATTTCTTACACTGACTGATGTCTCCCTTCACCCACTTTCCTGTTGTCTGTCCCCCTGGGAGGGGGTTATATGTAGATCATGGTGAATGGTTCCCCCTTTCTCCTCCCACCATCCCCTTACCCTCCTAGTATCAATACTCTCATGATTGGTCCTGAGGGGCTTCTTTGTCCTGGATTCCCTGTGTTTTCAACTCTTATTTGTACCAGTGTACACCCTCTGGTCTAGCTGGATTTTTAAGGTAGAATTGGGGTCATAATGGGGGGAGGAAGCATTAAAGAACTAAAGGAAACTTGTATGTTTCATTGGTGCTATACTGTACCCTGCCTGGCTTGTCTCTTCCTGTGATCCTTTTGTAAGGTGATGTCCCAATTGTCTACAGATGGTTTTTGGGTCTCCACTCTGCCCTCCCCCTCATTCATATTGATATGATTTTTTTGTTCTGTGTCCTTTATGTCTGATACCTGGTACCATTGACACCTCATGATCTCACAGGGTGGTGTGCTTCTTCTATGTGGACTTTGTTGCTTTTCTGCTAGATAACCACTTGTTTATCTTCAAGACTTTAAGACACCAGATGCTATATATTTTAATAGCTGGGCACCATTGGCTTTCTTCACGACATTTGCTTATGCACCTATTTTATCTTCAGCAATTGTGTCAAGAAGCTGAGCATCACGGAATGCCAGGTTAATAGAACAAAGTGTTCTTGTGTTGAGAGAATACTTGAGTAAAGGCTCAATGTCCTTCTGCTACATTGATACTTAACATGTAAATATATGTACATAGATCTATTTCCGTATCATTACATATAAATATATTTACATTTATACATGCCTGTATTTAGGCCTCTATAAATGCCAATTTGCTGCCTACTTCTTTCTTCCATTTCCTTTTCCTTTCCTCTTGTCTCATTATCATGTTTAGCATTCATTAGGGTTTCATTAATTCCTCTCAGTTACATTGCCTTTGATCAAGTTCCACCAGGCATCCTACACCCTCTTCACCATCAATTTTAGATCACTTGTTGTTCCCTTGTCCCTGGATTTTTTAACACCCACTTCCTTTCCCCCACCTTCCCCTATCCTATGTCTTCCTGGAAGCTTTGAGCCACGGTTTTCTCTTTGGGATTGTTTATGTTGCCCATATTATCTAGATAGACATTGTAGAGACAACAATAAGCACAAAAACAAGACAGCGCAAAACCAAGCCACAAAAGAAAACAAACAAAACGGAACAAAAAACCCAATGGCAAAATTAAAAGAAAAGCCTATAAATAGTTCCAAGACTGTTTGTTGACCTTTAAGAGTGTTTTCCTGTCCAGTCTGATGGTACGCCACACTTTGGCCACAAACTCTATTTTTGGTGTTCCCTGAGGTCTTCATCAGATAGTATCTTATGACACTCTGTTTGAAGTACAAACATGAGATCATTGTATAGATCTAAAGTTAAAACAAACCAACAGACTCAACTAATTTCCACAGTCAATACATAATTCTAAAGTCACCCTTTGCTTTACACTTAGCATGGAGTGCTTTAATAAGAAACATGCAGAGCCAAATGCAATCCAAATTTAGTTGTACTTTACCTAAACACCTCCTATTCGAAAGACATTGAATGCTTAGGTTGCTTGAAAAGTTAAGGTCCTGTGGGTGGGTCCTTAAAAAACACTAGGGTATTCAACAAAAAAAAACTTTCAGTGGCATCTCTCCCTCACATCATTCATGAATCTCATGATTTTGTCTAATCTTCTTTAAGGTGTTTCTAAATTAGGGCGCAACAATATATTGTAGTCATTTTTTTTCTTTTTATATTCATCCTCTAAATTTATGTAGGAATAATGTACTGGCTTTAGGTAACTGCTAATGTTTATTTCCCGAACCTATTACACTGCAGCATAAAACAAAATGAAATCTAGATCTATCCAGCAAGTGTATTGTGACAGGATTTATAGCCAGCTCTATACTTAACTAGTGTAGGTGACTGCTTATGGGATGTAATTTCACCCTGCTGCCACATAGAAGGCTTGTTCACAGCATTCAACTTTTACTAAGGAGTACATCCATTTTCTTTAAAATACCTCCCTCGTCTTTTACTTATTTCTGGAAGAATTTTGCAGTTAGAGGTTAGTTGTTTTTTGACTTTAAAAGAATGTATTGCTTGTAGACAACAAAACAAAAAACTTATCTTCTGCATTTAGTGATGTAGTTCATTATTGGTATCTTAAGATAAAGGAGCCTTATCCTTTTAGGGCAGCATCTTTGCATAGAAGACTGAGTGTAAATGAGACCAGTTAGTGGAAGAAGTCTTTCTTTTGTGGAGGAAATAAGGTGGCACAGGTAGATGACATCCTGAGGGCAAACTTTATCAACTTCGGACCCTTTTAGTGCTAGTGAAAATGTGTGCAGTGTGTGTTAGGTGCTGTTGAGTCATTGCGAGCCCCTGTGACAAAGAGGGATTGCTTCATAGAATGTTCTAAGCTGTAATGTTTGCAGAGGTAAATTACTAGGTCTTTCTCCTATGAAGCTACTTGGTGGTTCAACTTTCCAACTAACTTTGAGCGCACACACACACACACACACACACACACACACACCCTTAGGAAATTCCATTATCTTTTAATGTCATTTTTACATACACTTTTTGAAACCCCCTCTTGTGTGTTTGTATTTATAATACTATTTAAACTATAAATGAATATCCAAAAATATGCTGTCTTCTCTTTAGACTAAATATTTATAGGGTGAATTTAGTAGTTCTCTCCTA